TGCTAGTCTCAGGCGAAATGACGCCAATTCTCAAGTCATGACTTTGTCGCCGAGATCCGGCCACACAGTTCGGCGAGACTGAAATGCCCACGAGCGGAGACAATCGTCTGAACCGACAGTTGCTCGAATCATGGTTTACGAGCCCCGAGTCTAATAACAGGTGCAATAAGCTCCCCAATCCATATTCAGGGCTGGGACTTGGTTGGGCCAAAACAATCAGCCACCCGGGAGCGCAAAAGCGAACACACCTTCCAACGCAATGCCGGTGAGCCAGGTCGAGCAATCATCGCACCACCCTCCCCCACAAATGATGAAATCCAAGCAGGTAACGACCCGTATGCCGGCCATAAGCCAATTAGCGCAGCAGAGGGCAATCATCCTCAGTGAAGGGGGAAGCCGGTACTTGTCATAGGTAGACAGGAGCCTAGCGATTGCATCCTATAACTACTGCAGTTCCCTATGCACGAACTACCCTGATCTGACGCTGTCTCTGAAGATGACTTCAAACCTAAAATCCGAAACTTCAGGCGAATAGTTATTGCCCTAGCGACTGCGTCATCTCCTTCTCAGTACCTCTCCAATTTCGCGGTTTCCAAGAGTGCGCAAGGGCAGCTCAGCCGGCTGTGTTCTCTACTGAAAAGGACCGAACACCTACAGTCCAAGACACGCCTTCACATGTTCACGGACAATGGTCCGTCTGATTTAGAGTAACTATGTTCGCCACCTTCAGAGGTGCAGCACCACGGCACACATACTAAAATGACCAACAGTCATAACCGACTAAAGACTGTATCATTCAATGCGATGTCGATTTACGCAAATCGAAGGATGATTTGCAGTCCCCAGTGGTCAAATATCCCCTGTTGCTTACCTTCTATGTGCACAATTCAACTTACAAATCCCGAAAGGAAGACGGAATAGACGGATGCGCGGTACATGCGGATTTCTTTGCCGAAATTCCTCATTCATGGGGCAATTAATGACAGCCTACTGTAGGGCGAAGTGAAGATTTTACTGAGCCACTGGGCACACAATCGCGCCCTCAAAAATGATAACGTCAACCTCTCGTTGGGCTGCGCTACGCAGTCTCTATTCGTGCCGTTAAAAAAGTTTCAACCGCAAACATAGCAACCTTTTCAGCAGTTCTTCTTGTAAATTAAAACGGGAAGATTTAAACGAAGTTACAATGGAATATGCGGTTTTTGCTTCAGCTTAAGGTAGGTATTCAAAAAGTGAAAGGTGATGTGTAGAACAAATACGAATAATAAGCCAGACATAGACTGACCGCGACGCTGACTGCAGACATTCAACCAAAGATCAGGCGCGACTTCGGTGACTTGCGGTGGGACGAGGATGGAATGATGTCCGCAGAAGATGGAGGTAAGGAGCCAAAGGCTGGCAGCCAACCCACTGTAGGGTTCCAAACTGAGCACCAACTCACGGGCAGGATAGAACTCACATTGCATCTTCTGAGCTCTGCACAGAGCACTCGCAGCCGCGTGAGTAATCTCCACGCCAGTAAGGGTTCCTGTTAAAATAGAGCAAGTATAGGTAAGGAAGGAAGTTATACAACAGGAACACAATGACCGTCGCTGAGCTAAAACAAGCATAGCCTGTCATTATCCATGAGCCTACGAAGGACGTAAGACCTGTTCTACTTATAGGCTTATTTGAAAAGTGTTGGTCGAGTAGTCAATCCAGACAGACAAAAATGTTTTAAGTAGCCGTCGTCGCCTGTGACAGCCTATGTTGCTACCCCCTCCTTATCCAGGCCACTATGAGGTATTTCCTCTAGACCACGGCAAATACCAACTTAGTTCGACCTACGGGTGGAGGTAAAAGAAAAAGTATGGAGCTCGATTTTTAAGTTTCTTTAGTGCATGATACGCTTGTCGGAGCAGACAAATAAGCATACGAACTCGACATCAATGACCTACGATCATCACACCCGCTGTCCTACAAGAACTCAGTCCTATTTGGTCTGTCGTCAAGCCACTCAACTACCGACCAGCCAATGGCAGGTATTCGTATATGCATCGCGCAGCCCACGCTTATAAACACTGTGAAGTTTCGGATTCGCTTGGTAATACACACCTTTGCCATACGCCGACATAGTCTAGCTCGGGTGACACCTTGGCTCTCTGTCCAAGTGTCAACCTGCAGCTATTTTAAGTATACTGTCCTGAAGACGTATAGTAGATGTTCCTCAAAATGTACTATCAGACAGCCATAAATACTCGCAAATAAAAGCGTACATCAACTACACAAAACTTTACTTTTTAATACCGACTTAGAATGAAAGTGAACGATGGACCAACAGGGGATGATGGAACCGTGATGTATTGCAGAATGCCTCTGGTTAAAGATGTCAGCATGATTCTTTGTCTAGGTGCAGAATCGTACGACATACCTGTTGTGGAGGCAATAAAATCGAGGTAGGCCACTTCAGTCTCCGGAGAAGTTGGCTGATGGATTGTAACCAGTTTCTTCCGCCAATTTTCTTCGGTGTCGAGTAGCGGAGGCCATTTTGAAAAACTGATGTAATTCGTGGCTTCCTGCAAGGGAGAAGGCAGTGTTATGGGCTCCCTTCAATTCATCTGCAAAACAAGCATGACTGAGGAGAAGACGGCTGGGTGGCAGATACATAATACGTACCTTTGATCTAATAACCTTGATAACCGAGGCCTGTGTGACACAGACGACGGCACCAGCGGATGAGACGACATGCCAGGCTGCCTTAAGGGAGTTTTCGAGGCCTATTTGGGCCGGTAGGGGAGGGGGAACGAGGGAACTTGAACTGGCTGACAACTCAGTGTTTGAACCGCCAAAAAAGTTGCTAGACAGAAGGTTCGTCGGTGTTGGCGGTGGAGCAGCAGAACTGGAGCCGGGTTGGGGTGGTCGCACGAGGACAGGAACGGCGGAGATGTAGAGACAAGCGTAGAAGGCGCACACCATTTCAATACCTGCAAGCAAAGAGGTGTATACAGCACTGTGAAGTGGCGAAAGCAACAGCCACCGGACATTTGACAGATGGCTGAGCTGTAAACATGTGTGACTGACTGAACGTACACTGGTTCACGGATTCACTACCGAATCCACTAATATAATCAGGTGATGAACCGTGTTAAAACAAAAAGAGGTGGTTTGGACTACTATTGGTCCTAAAAGCCGACTTGCTACCACTGAGTTTATCAGAATGAACGGCACACGAACATGTTATCGGCTTCAAGCGCATATAAGATTTCACATCTGAATATTCTGACATTTTTGTAGATTGCACAAGCGTGGACGAAGCTTCGGCAGATTACTTGTGTTATTTTTCATAAGGTTTATCACCAGAGCGAATATACTATCCCAAAGTGTCAGTGGACCTCAAAAGAAGAATTTTATTTGCATTGCTGACGATGTAGTCCAGTCAAATGAGTTTCTTTGTCGGACCGGACGGGCATAACATCGTTAGGACACACCCTAGAACGCAAAACGAAGTCAAACGTACTAACAGTGGGAGAAATAGACAACTGTAAAATTCTGATGCAGCTAATTACACCTCGCATACATAATCATTTCGCAATATTGGACAGCAACAAAAACTTAGTAAGTATAATACATTCCGATTTAGATATCGAGTACATGCGCCACGAATTATAGCG